TTATTATTATTATTATTATTATTATTATTATAGGGCCTACTTATTATTATCGTGGAATATTATGTGTACTATTTTCGGTTGGACCTAAACCAGTCTAAACGGTACAATTCTCTCTGCGTTGGTTAAAGTTTCCGTAAGAGCTTCCACTTCCGGTCTATTTTCACACATCTTCCAGCGTCCTGACTGGTTTGGTTTCGTTTCTTCTTCAACTTCCACTCCACACCATTTACCATGGCTGACTCTGGAATCAAGCGTAAACGAAATGTTAGACAACGTCAGGCGTCATCTAGCAGTAGCGACGGTGAATCCGATGAAAATGAAAACACAAGGTATTTTGTAAAGATTTTTTTGTGTGCATTTAAAAACGTGTTTGTTAGCTCAGCACTGCCACTCCCACTGCCAGGGACGATTGAAGTCCCAATCGAAATCCCACGTTTCTTCAATAGTCTTCATGATTAAAAAAGCAAGCCCAGTTGATGAGTTGTTCGCCGTTCTTTTTTTAATCACACGACCAGAGAAAATATCTTATTAGCATCACGTTGAGGGCTGCTCTCATACTTTACTCATAGTGTGGTGGTGCTTGCCACACATCCTTGCCCTTTGCCTTTTTGTTTCCCCAGGGATGACGAACCTCCTGAGTGAGATTGAGAACTGACCTACGAGGTCTGTCTCAAATAAAGTTTTCCTCAGTGACCTTGTAGTTCAGTTCGTTAACTCTTATCCTGCGTCTGTGCCCAGATGCGTATCTTATCAGCAACCGATTACGTCGGACGTGCCGGGCAGGCCGCCGGGGTCACTCACTCAGTGTGTACTGTTGGTGTACAGGGTGACCCCGGCAGTTCCTTGAGAATTTTTAAAGGAAGCAGTCTTTCTCTATTTCAGTTCTTGAGACTTGAGATCGCCTTCAGTGCAACAAGCTAGCATTGGGTACAGAATCAACAACTAATGACTTGCCTTCCACTATGCATTTTGTTGTTGCATAGGGGAAAAAAACAGCTGCGTCCCCCTTATTTATTTTAACTTTTTTAAACGAAGTGTATACAGACCCGGTAACCGGGAACAAAGTCACGAAGTATACAGACCCGGTAGGGGAACTGTTTTGTGATTTCGGAAAGTTTCAGCGCCCAGACCCGGTAGTGTGTGTGTGTGTGTGTGTGTGTGTGAGTGAGTGAGAGTGAGTTAGAGAGAGAGTGAGTTAGAGAAAGAGAGAGAGAGAGAGGGTGACTGCTCGATTGAAATTAAATGACATTGTTCTTTTCTTGAAATTGTGATTCCTCCAACTCCAAAACGGATGAAAAACTGGCGTTCATCGAAAAGACATCCGCAATCTTCATTTAGATCTATATCTACACCTAGATCTAGATCTAGGCTAGCCTTGAAACTAGATCAATGATTTATATCTGTCTGTCTAGATCTAGACCTAGGCCATAGATCTTGAAGAACCTAGGTCTGCCCTGAGCCAAGAGGGCGCTGAAACTTTCCGAAATCACAAAAGAGTTCCCCTACCGGGTCTGTATACTTTGTGACTTTGTCCCCGGTTACCGGGTCTGTATACACTCCCTATTTTAAAATGCATTTTAATGTTATAGTTTGGTAATACCTGAGTGCGTTTTAATTACCTTTTATGCAGTTTGTGTGATTCGAATTGGCTGGACCAGTACAAAAATACAGCCATTTTCGAAAGTGTCCACTTATTTTTTAGGACAAATATTGTATGTTAATTTATTATACTATTTAAGAAAAAGCGGATTTTGTAAGATATGTTTTCTATTAATTTTTCCGCTGTTTCAGGGAAAAACTAGAAGCAATGCGTGCAATACAGAAGATGCGGTCACGACAACATGGAGTGAGTGCAGCCAGTCTTGCACTGGGGAAGAAAATTGCAAAAACAGAAGAGATATCTGATGTAAGTAGCGGTATTAGCTGTCTCTTTGATTTTGTCTTTGAATTACGGGACATTTTTTCCAAGTTTTTGTTGGAAAAGCTTTAATTTGTGCAAATCTTAGCTGTTTTCTGTTTGTTCATTTAAAAAATAATGTGAGGCATTGTCTCAGCCCCTTTAATAAAGTCTGTTTTAATGAGTAATTTTATCACCGAAAGCAAGACAAATTAGCAAGCTTTAAAATGATACCAACAACTCCACATGTTCAAAAATTGGTGAGCGCCTGATTCCACCACGTCGTGACATGTATATGAGGCATCGTGGTGAAATCAGACATTCGTCAAAATGATGAAATCAAAGGAATCTGCATTTTTCTAGCTGCTGCTAATTTTTTTTCAAATTCTCTTTGATTGGCTCAACACCTTTTATGTCCATATAAAAACATATTACTGTGTGGATAGTACCAAAAAACGTTCATTTAAGTCACCAAAATGTAAATTTCCGGTTTTCAAGGACACTCAAGCTCAGGAAGTCACCATAATTCGGCAGCCGTTTTATTGCTAATTTTATCTGTCATAACAAGCGACCTCCACATCCTTCAATCTCGAATATCTCGACTTCTGTTCAAGATAGATATGTGTATTTTTTTTTGCCAAATGCAGCACAAATGAACTAGCTTTAAGATGATGTTAATAACTCTATATGCCACAAATTGATGAGTGCCTGATTCCACCACGTCGTGACACATAATGTATACCAATCTGAATCTCTCACTTTATTTTAGAAAGCTAATGGTATATGATGGGTTTTTTTTCATTCATCTACTTCCATTCTCCTATGTTATTGTTATTATTATCTTTTCTTTCCCCAGGCTGACCCGTTCAAAATGAAAACTGGAGGCATTGTTGACATGAAAGCTTTGAAAAAGAAGTAAGTTAGCATTGTGGTGACCAACATTTCCTGTAGGTTTTTTTTTTTTTCTCCAAATGTTCCCTGATTTTTTTTCCTATTGAGCAAGATTCTACTCTTTCTGTTTAGTGCGTAAGGCTGCTAGGTGTTCGTTAGAGATTCATTAGGTTCCGCGATTTTTCCTTCCCATTGATTATTTTAGCCAAAGTAAATGGTCAGTGCACTTGTTGTTTTTTTGTTCCTGTTTTTTTCTCTGTTTGCAAGTAGCGGTGGCAGTAATATATATGAGCTTTTGCCAAAAGGTGGGGGTGTTTGCTTAAGGACTTTTTAAATCAACCACTACTCATGGTAAAATATGTTTTCTTCTGAAAACTTAATGCATATGGCAAGGAAAAAAGTTGGTCAAGCTGCATGAGCAAGTAGATTGATGTGTGCATCTTATATCTCTACATAGAAAGATAATAGTACTAAAAATAGGGCATTTTTTACTCATCCTGAGTGCACACGTAATTGTATGTTAAATACAGATTATTGTTAATCTTAAACTATCAAACAGAAGTGCATTCAAACATTGAAAATAGTTTGTATACACCATTATAACAGCGTGTGTCCATTAAAAGGGTTTTATTTTTTATATTAATGATGTTATTGCTGAGTAAAATTTATAAATTCGTTCATAACTCGTGTCATAATTACATCATCAGACTTTCCAAGGTCTAGAAAACCCAAATCGTTAAACATATCATCCCGGGGAATGACCGGTATTAAACATTGGTTTGACATTGATCCATCAGAAGGGTAATTTTCCGCTCCATCGCATGGTTTTGCTTAAATATGACTTTGATTGAGATAATCCAGGTTTGTCATAATGATGTTATGAACAAACACTTTATGATATTTCTGCAAAATATCATGTGAGGGACTTCCCACTGTTTCACAACATCCTTTTACATGGTGGGATGAACATGGAAGAGTATCGTGCTGATGACTCAAAAGAGAAGCGAAGAAGAGGCAAAAATATGCTTGTCATAATGGATTGTCATCATGTTATGAACGTGACAGTGTGTCATAATGGTTATGAACGAAACCTTATTCCATGTAATTTACAGTTGTTTTGGGATGTATTTTTAATTTTAACCCAACTTGAGGATGTATTAGACCTTGCTTACATTCTGATATTTTGATTTTTATCATAAGTGTATGGGTCTGGATTTTAATTAGTATTTTACTTTTGTAGTAATGGTTATGAACGAACTTCATATTGTACTCTGCGGGCTTTCTAGAGTTGATAAACATTAAAAACATGAACACAGATACATATTATGAGGAAACTTTCATTTAATATGAAATTTTAAAGTAAATGACAGGTCAAAATATTAATTTTTATGTCAAAACTGAAGTTTGTCATAATAGTTATGAACGAACAATTAAAGGTATTCTAAGGGTTTTTCAGTGATTAAACTTTGAATTCTTCCAACATATAACCTTATTTTGAGGAGAATCTCATAAATTAAAACTATTTTATGTGAATGACAGAATAATAAGTTAATTTTTTGGGCCCATAGTAAAATTTGTCATAATAGTTATGAACGAAATAGTGTGTCATAACGGTTATGAACGAAACCTTATTCCATGTAATTTACAGTTGTTTTGGGATGTATTTTTTATTTTAACCCAACTAAAGGACAGAATAGACCTTGCATACATTCTGATATTTTGATTTTTATCATAAAAGTGTAAGAGTGTGGATTTTAATTAGTATTATACTTTTGTAGTAATGGTTATGAACGAACTATTTATAGTCCATTTTATATATTTTGAGGGCTTTTCAGTGTTAACAAACTTTAGAAACATGTACAGAGATACATATTATGAGGAGAGTTTCATTTAATAAAAGTTTTTAAAAATGAATGACAGATCAAAATGAGTAAATTTTTAGGTCAAAATTGAAGTTTGTCATAATTGTTATGAACGAACCATTTTAAAGGTATTCTAAGGGTTTTTCAGGAAATAAACTTTGAATTCTCCCTACATAGAGGAATCTATCATATTTTAAGGAAAGCCTCATAAATGAAAACCGTTTTATGTGAAAGACAGAACAATATAAATAAATTTTAGGGGCCAAAAGTAAAATTTGTCATAATAGTTATGAACGAAACAGTGTGTCATAATGGTTATGAACGAACTTTAAATTTATGCATAATATGCCCTAAGACCAGTTTGCGTTTAAAAATAGCTGTTCAATGGTCTTTCATTTATCACTTGACTAAAATTTAGACCAGAGTGTTATTTTAGACAATTCTAGTCGATGAAACTTGATATAATTGATAGTATTTTGGTCACTTATTGTTCGTTCATAACTATTATGACACAAAAAAGTTATTTTATCAAAAATTAATAAAGGTTTTTATAAATTGTCAATTCTATGTAATTTTGGAAGTTATTTGCTATGTCTCAAAATATAACATCAGCCTAGCTGAAGAAAGCAACTTTGAGTATTCATAAATTTGTGTCATCATTGTTATGAACGAACTTTTTACTATTTCCGTCATTCAAGTCAGAATTACACCAAGACCATTGCATATACTGCTTTGGCAGTTACTGAGTCTGAAAGAGCAATCATTAGGCTATATAATATGGGTGATTAAAGAATTATTACATAAAGTTGATTTTGGACCTCATTTGTCACACCCAGGTATCCCACCTTTTGGCAAATGCTCATATATATATATATGTGCATGCTAATTGATTCAGATTGCATGGTTCAGCTCTGTGTTTGCGCTAAAGGCATCATGTTGAAAACTTACTATTACTGTACAATGTTCTTAATTTTCTGTCTTACAATCAGAACAGCTTTCTGAGGATCTTCAGAAATCAGGTGTCTTAGAAACAAAGGCTTTTTCTTCTTTTGTGGATTTTTTTCCCCCTGCTCTATCTAAATATTTTATACACCTTTTTCTGTTTACATATTGTTGTCTCGCAACTTTTTAAATTTTCTTTTTTTTAAGTTGTCCTTTCTAAAGGTACACAAATGATAACTTGACTGATTCTTAAAAAAGAAAATTATTTCTTTCCTATAGACCTCTGACAGGAGAGGCCGCTGAAGCCATCGGAACCGCATTTGCTGCAGAGACCAACAGACGAGATGAGGATGCTGAAATGTAAGTGCTTCTTGGAAAAACCTTACATTTTTTTTTGTTCTGCCTGTAGACTAAGAAATCATTTTATTGAATAAAAGTAATCCCATCACAACGTCTTAAGCAACACCTTGCTCAAGAGGAATTTGTTCATCCGCTTCATAAGTGATGAAGGATTATCATACTATGTATGCTATTGTAGAACAAACTTTCTAATGGGAAGTGTGAGGCAAATTGTCCGTTTCTTTCATAGAATGTGTTGGTTTCGCTGGGTTTTTTTAACACAATCTGCTTGTGTTCGATCTCAGTTTTCTTGTAGATGAAATATTACCGTTCAATATTATGTGTAATTTTTCTTTTTTCATGGAAATTGCTTTAGTGTGAAATGTTACAATCTCAGGTAATTGGAAAGCAGGTTATTTTGTTTTATGGCGTCGGTGGCCTAGTGGTTAGGCTCTCGGACTTGCAACCGTGAGGTCGCGGGTTCGAATCCCGTCAGGGGCCCGACGTTGTGTCCTTGGGAAAGGCACTTAGCACAAATTTTCCTCACTTCACCCAGGTGGAAATGGGTACCTGGCAATAGACAGTGAACGATCTTGTCAGTTTGATAGTGTTTGAGCGTGTGAAATCCGCAGCTTGCACTGTATGCTTCCACGGAAGCCGAGAATGTTTCCGAGTGTTATCAGAGGATTGCTGGGGTAATGATAGTTGTAAAGCGCATAGAGCATGCTCTTGAGCATGGATATGCACTATATAAATGCAATTATTATATTATTATTATTATTATGGCTGAAGCCCTTTATAATTTTTCTCACCTGTGGCTTCGCTTCTGCCTGTCCATTACCTACTTTCTGTTGCTCATTCTATCTTTCTTCAGGCTCTTTCGCTCCTCTATTTCTGTCTTCAACTCCCTCTTCCTTTACATCTACTTCTTTTTTTTTCTCCCCCATTCACAACTTATCTCGCTTAACATCACTCTCTTTCAATCTTTATCTCTCTATCTTTCTATTTCTTATCTTTGTCTTTCACTCTCCTTCTTTCCTTCCATCTATCTCATTCTCAAGTCTTTGGCTTGCTCAAAAGCTTATGTCCTATTGTTACTGACCCTCCCTCACGTTTTTCCTGTGCGATGTTCCAGGCTCAAGTATGTGGAGGAGGAGCTGGCGAGGAGGAAAGGTCACCATAAGGAGGAGGAGGAAACCAAGGACAGGTGTGTGGCTGGGCTCTTTGTCTTTGTTTTAGTATGGGTTTTATGGGTTTTGCAATACAAGTACGTCGTGCATGTTAGTGCCGAAGACTGGGGATGTTACTAGAGAGTAACTAACAAATGAAATAAGGACGATAGATATGTTTGATAGGAAAGAAGGAGCAAAGAACACCAGAGCACCAACCTCTGTGTCTTGACAGACCTGCTTGTTTTGTAGCCTGGGAATATCTTGCACAGTGTGGGTTTTACCTCGGAGATTAAAATTTCTTATGGGGGACCTAAACAAGTAATATGGGGGAACTGATTTGTGGAGAAGGGGGGGGGGGGGGGGTGAGAGGGGGACACTTCGGGATTTTTAATGGTTTGTTTTCATTTTCATTTGCAAAGTGGTTTGGTTGATTTACTCAATGATCTGATGGTCTTGAAATTGATTTCTGGCTAGTCTTTCATCATGTTCAGGGGTTCATGTCGTACCATATCCTTTTCTCCGCTCTTGATGTACTTTTAGATTTGAAAACCTTCTGGGGGGGGGTTAATTTATTATTTACTTTCACATGATTACCCCAAAGCTGTCAGTTTAATTTGCTTATGTTTGTCTTGGTAAAGAATTTTTCTGTAGACTTATTAGAGTTAAGCCTATAAGATGTAGTTTGTAGCTACTTGTGTGTCTAAATGTCATTGTGCATTCTGATGTGATGTGCTTTTTCTATTCTGTGAAAATGTCATCTTAACTCGCTTCCTGGCAAAATGTCGGCAGCCGGATCATAGAGACTTTTTGAAAATTGCCGCTCATTTTTGTTGATGTCAGTTTCATGTTCGCTTATTTTTCAGCCAAAAATCTCAGACAGATTCTCTGTATGACCTGCCGGAACATCTCAAGAAGTATTCCTCAGAGAAAAGATCAGAAGACATGTTGTCCAATCAGATGCTTTCGGGAATTCCTGAGATAGATCTGGGTATCGAGTGAGTACTGAACTAGTCTAAGTATCACAGCAACATAATTTTGTCTGGTAATGCTGGGGTCAACTTGAACCATTGCCGTAAAAATACTTATTTTTCATTTGCCCATGACAGAAGAGCCATGAAGTTTTACTACATGATAAAAACATGACTTTACTAATCTTAGTATTACCCTCTGAAAGTAAAATGGCTATGGTGATATTTATCATTTTGACCTTCCTTACTAAAATTATTTATGAATAATGCCTGCTAAGGGGTTATGCGGGGCATTTTAATTTAAAAATTGTATAAATTTGTCGTAGCATTTTTTAGTTGTTATGATATTCAATTTTTGTTTGATGGATTGGACATGTCTCCACCACTCCAGTGTAAAATATCGAAGCTTAGTTCTGGATAATAGCGACGATAGAGGTTTACTTTTATGTACTGTGCTTAGGAATGTTCCTTTTCGTTACAGCGTAACATACTCTGTTGGTTGGAAGCTCTGAAAGAAACATGCAATTTTTTGTTTTAATTGTTTGATCAGGTCAATTACTAGAGCTGTATGCCATTTAAAACCTGTTATTTATTTTTATACTATGCTTTTTGTATTCCTCTCCACAAGGACCAAGAAGTGAATACTGTCATAATTTAATTACAGTTGCTCTTGATAATTTAGAAACGAAAATTGAGTGAAGTTTGACCATTTTGTAAATATTCGTACCTTCTCATGTTTTATCACTCTTATTAAGAGATACACAGATTTGTTTAAAATACAAGTATTGCAGTTTTTCAAAATACCATTAAGTAAGAAGCTGATAGTCAAGAGCAACCATTTGCTTATGTTTGTGCAGCAGAGACTTTGGGATTTTCTTTTGTTCTTTTGTTTTTCACTTAGTGGGTGGTTGGCGGGTGCTCTGGTGTGGTTTGCTTCTTCTTTCCTATCAAACATCTATCGTCCTTATCTCCCCTTCATCGAAAAACCCCTACTAAACTAAAACTAAAACTGTTTTTCACTTTCCTGCTCTGATTTCTCTTAGTGCAAAGATCAAGAACATTGAGGCCACAGAGGACGCAAAACAGAAGCTTCTGGAGGAGCGGAAACGTCTGCGTGAGAACATGCCATCTGCCTTTGTCCCTAACAATGTCGCTGTGAACTTTGTACAGCACAACAGATGTGAGTTACCCTGTTTTTATTCTGTAATGTCACGTGGAATTCTTACATTTTATGAATGTGAAGGCACGGAAAGAATTTTTTTCTAATTGAGATTTTTGAGTGCTCACGCAAAGCCTGAAATTAATAATAATACTATTTGCAGGAAAGGTTTATGATGAAAGTGGTTGAGAAATTGATGACTGTATTGGAGGTTTCCCCATGTTTGAAGCTATTTTAACAAGGTGGACTGCTTTGTTTCGTGTTGCCAAGTACAGACCTGCCACTCATCCCGATTTAATCAGGATATCCCGATTTTTTTTGGCCCCAAATCTCAAGCATCCCGATTTTCCCAATTTCAGTCAAGTGTATCCCTATTTTTTTATTTTTTTTCAGTCTGTTTCGTCGGATTAAAAAAAAACTTACTCTGGCTTTTTCTGTGTCACGGGAAGCAAACGTTGAACTTTTTGTAAGTGGGAGTTTGGACCATTATTTTCCTAAATATCAATTCCGGATTTAGTAGTTGACTCGCCCCAAGTTGTGTTTGATTTTTGCCCCACACTCAGAATTCTATGATGATAGCCTCATAACTGCGACATGCAAATACTCGATTTATAATATTCGTGGTTCTGCTGTTACTTTCAAAACAAGCCTCGTCCGAGGTCTAGTATCTGCGCGTTCACACCAAAACACTCGGACAAGCAACAGTCGTTCTAACCCTTGCACAGCTGACTGTGCTGATCTAGACTAACACTCGACCTTTGTCGTTGCTTTGGTCTGAACACAAATCAGGAATAAGAAAGAAATAATTTGTTGGTACATTTGGTCTGTCGGCTGTTGTCGTTAGCCTAGAATGACTCTCGCTCGTCCAAGTGTTTGGTGTGAATGCGCAGTTAGTCGGTCTTGTCGATAAAACTGTTTCAATCGTGCGTTCGCATTTCGTATCTCGTGACATGACTTCGGCGTGTCAGTTCCGCCTGTGTTGGGGACCATCCGTTGACCGGGTCAACTTAAGTCCATGCACACTGGTTGAAGTGTCTTTTGGACTTATTGGTGATTGGTGGGAGTTACACACTTGAGCGCTTGACGTGATGTTTTTGGATTTTAAAAAAGTAATGACAAAACTCATTCATGCACACACGATATATATTTTTATATTAAATATTTATAGACACCCCTGGAAAATTTTTAAGTAAGCTTGGCAGTCACCTTGGTGATTTTAACTGTTGATCCCAGATTTTTTTTCCCAAATCCCGATTTTGTTCCCTCTGAGATCCTGATTTTGAGATTTCATAGAGTGGCAGGTCTGCATGTATTATGAATTATTTTACCAAAAAGCCATATCGTTTTATCCCTGTCTGAATGGGCAATGTGATGGGTTGCATGCTTATTTCTGAAATAGGTTCGGGGTTTTTGTGAAACAAATTCAAGGTGGATATCAGCAATCCCAAATTACAAATTTCCTGTTCTTAATCTAAGACAAGTTTCACAATTTCATGCAAAAGAATACTAAATCCAAAGACAGAAAAGAGAATAAAACAGCACCTAGACATAAATAGCGTGTACCTTAAGTAACATATATGTATGTATATATATAACAATTGGGTTTGGTGCTTCCTCCTCAGTCAACATCGATGACAACAAGCCCAAGTTTGTGAAGAAAGTTGAGGAAGCCAAACCAGAGCCTGTGCGGGTCGGTGATGTGGACAAGGCAGTAACTCCAGCTGGTAAGTTCTTGTGAAAGATGCCACTCATTTTTGTTGCGTGCTTAATTCCTTACAGAGATTCCTTTTAGTTTTAGTGCAAAGGTTTTTGTGTGTAGTGTCTTCAGTTGAAGTAACTTTTTACCTTGTATGCAGAAGTTTTGTGATTTTTATAAATAATTACATGTTTGATGTTAACAAGTCTTTAGTGATGACCTTGAGAATCCTCATTTAATTCTCTCCCCCCCCGCGTCCGTTCTGTATATCATGCTGTCAAAATGATTGTTATTACTTTAGGCCCCTAATAACCTAATTTGCAAGATTATAAACTATTTGAGTGAATGATGATAACAAAAGGAGACTAGTATGTTGAACTTCTTTTGCACTCCTTTGTTTCCTCCGTCTGTGTCTCATTTTTTAAACAGAAAATAGCCATTATCAAGCTGATGTGCTCCAATTTGAATCAAAATATTTTTAAAACATTTTTTTTTAGATTTTGTTATTCAGCAACTAAAGTTCGGAGTATGAAAGAGAGACCCGAACTCTTGTCTTGCCTGTAAGGGAAACTTTTTTTTTTCAAAGACAATTTGTTCTGATGCTGTGACTTGATGATGAAATATCTGCCCTTTCTCTTTTCCCAGAAACGAGCACGACGACAAAGAAGAAGTCTAGTGAAGAGAAAGCAACTGACGATTTCCACTTTGAGAAATTCAAGAAACAAATGCGTCGGTTTTGATTTTTTTTTTAAAACGAGCGTCCTGTGTTCCTGCGTTGTGCCTGTGAAAGGAGCAAGGAGCATCCTCTGTTGACCATGTGAGATGTTGTCTCCCCTCCAGCACGTTCCACATCTATATACCGGTATTGTGGCATGACATGGTTGGTCGTTACATATGATTCTGATACTACGGGTAAATATTACGTGTGTACATTCCTGGCCCACATGTGAAGCTGCAATGTTGAGTGTCACTGGCCAGATGTTCTCATGACAGCAAGATGTCTAGAGACGGACAGAAGCAGAAAGGGAAGGGTGGTAGTGGGAAATTGCACAATGAGTGCACCATTAGCTCAGTTAGTATCTTGCTGGACTGCAATGTGTTTGACCCTGTTTGGGTCCACATTGAGTGCCTTTATGGGCTGGGGTTGTTAAGGGTATTTGTGTGGCTGTCCAGGAAAACCCTTCACATGGGTCACAAATGATTCTTCTGTCAATTCTTTGTCTCTATCACTTTTGAGTTATTTACATATTTGGATTCTGCATTCAATTCTGAACATTTTGCTTTTTATTTGACTAGATTATCTTCAATAGATCAAAAGTTATGGCCTTTTATGTATGGTACCCTCCGAAAAGTCACTTTTGAGAAAACAGCACTTAAAAGTTGAGGCCTCCCCATGTGTTAATGATGTCAGTAAAACACAAAAATTGCATGCAAACCATTCCAAAGCATTTAATTACAACATAGTGGTTAGTTGAAGAGTTAAAACCAGAATTTATGAGGTTGAATCACTTACAGTGGTGCATTCTGCCTGGCGTCATTGCCGTGCCTTGCTGAGTTGGCCTCAGCCACGTCCACGTCCTCTGCCACGTACATTCTGGTCTACTCCATTTGCTTGGCCTGGTTTGGTCTTCTTGGGAACAGGTGTATCCTCATCCTCATCACTGGGCTCCTCTGGTGGAAGTGGAAGTGTGGGGAAAGGGGTGACGATGTCATGCTTGTCTGCTGCAACAAAGGGGTGTATTTCTTTGTGAAGGTAGGCCTGCCTCTGAGCACTGAGACCTGTCTTTGGAATGATCTCTGGCATGGTGTTCTGTTCAGGCATTTTCTTAACCATGTCATAACTCTGTTCTTCGACGTCGATATTGGTTTTCACCTTCTCAGATCCTGTCCTGTCCATGCGAAAGTGGTGGAATGACTTGATCCCCTTGATTTAAAAAAAAACCTGTCAGATAAGTAGTCCAGTCGTACGTTGGGACCTCTGTCGGTCCATTTTCAGTTCCAATCAGCTTCCCAACATTCATCTGGGATGACGAGTTGACTGTTGACTACGTCAAGAATATCCTGCAGACAGTCAACTTTTGTTCATCTGAATTTCCGCTTGATGAGGCCAAAACCTCCGTATGGGCTGAATTTGGTATGTCCAGTAATCAAGAAGCTAAGACGAATGACATGATTCCGACCTGTTAGGCACCTCCACAGAATATACCACATCATCTGATTGTTTTTGTTTTGCCCTGCACAGTTGTCTGCGTGAAGAAGCAGATTCGTTTCCGCAAGGCTGTGATTTTCAAGGTAGTCGTGAAGAAACGAAATAACGACGTTGGCTCCTTTGCCAGTGCTGTGGGCTTCGTCGACAAGATAATTGATCTGAATGCCACAAGCTTCGCTGTTGATCCCAAATAAACCACACTTTCAAGGTGTCTTGAAATAGATAGGGCCTGGTTGGTGGGGATCCTGTGGGTAGTGCATCTGCTGTGCGAAGTCGAAAGACACATGGTGCGTACCCTCAAATGAACAAGCAGGGTGATTTCCCCGGGGTAGGTCAGCTGGCAAATTCCGCTTCACTTCCTCGCAGACCTGCTTGTAGTAGGCCCTTTCCTTTTTAACCCTGGAAGCGCGCACCGTGTTCCCAGAAGTGAACCACCAGAAATGCCCGGTTGCCACGGCCGGTTGTTTACAAATATGGGGGTGTGGCGGAGCCATCAGCTGAGATTTTACCTGCTCCTGAAAATTGACCATTTACGGCTAAACCAATGATAAAAGACTTATTAAACCATATATTTTCTGAAAGCTGATATAATGAGCCATTCCAAAAATAATACTTATAAAGATGGAAAAGATTTTTATATGTTTTTTTTTATTGCTAGAAATTAGAATTTTCAAGTTTTACAGTTATTTAGACTAAAAGATTTACTTATGTGACTTACCTTGGCAAATAAATCCATTTTTTTTTACAATCAGAAACACACCACAGTAATAGTAATCCACTTTAAATAGCACAAACCTGAAAAAGAAGCATTAAAAAAATATTCTCCCCCTCTGAGTCCCTGGCACTGAATATCAGTTTTATAACCAGGTTGCAGGCTTGGGACTGCCTCGGCCCCTTAGAAGTAGCCCTAAAAAGGGCTGTTGAGGGGGGGGGGGGGGGGACGGACTGTTCAATCCAGCTGCTGCGGCCTCCTCTTCAAACCACGCTTATAGTCCCTGCAAGAGTGATAAATTTTGAAGCAAGGGGGGATATGCAGGCCTACTTTGCAAGAAGGGCACTCATAGCGTGAGTGTTTGCGCTTCCCAGGTTCTGAGCAAACGACGCAGTCACGCTGGGGGTTCTGAACCTTGGCACCTGGCTTGGGTACGATGAGTTCCGCAAAGTGACAACCAGTCAGGCGGAGAAGTACAGATTCCCCGAGCTCAGTTGGCCTCGTGGTGTTGCTGAGAGGGGTGGGCATGAAGGAAATCAGAAGCTTGGCCAGGTCCCAGCGGAAATTGCGGTGGGTAAGCTTCTTAGCTGAAGTGGCTTTGTGCATGATGAAAGCGTTGAGGACGCTCAGCAAAAAACATATGGAAGAACACCTTCTTCCACCTCTTCAGAGTCCGTCGCTTGAAAGCGTTGTAGCTGACCATCTGATCGCTCCGATCAACCGCTCCCATATATTTGTTGTATTCCGCAACTACCTGGTGCTTCCTGATGGGCACCCTGGTGACGGGGTTTGTGCGGCCTGTGTTGACGATGTCGTCATTATGCGCTGAGGTCAGCACATTCACCTCCCTCTTGTTGGAGAACCTCAGCAAGTTGAGGGTTCTGTTCTTGAGGCAGACTGAGGGATCGCCCTTCTTCAGCTTCGGGAGCATAGCTTTCGGGGGGGGGGGGGGGGGGGGGGCATTTCTTCTGTTCCGTCGAAGAGTTCCACAGGCCAGAGTGCGCTGGTTCTTCAAAGAAGTGAAGAGGTCGTGAGTTGTGTAGAAATTATCCACGTACAAGACACGACCACAGCCGAGGAAAGACGTAATGAGTCGGTCAACGACGTCGTACATGGCTCCGAAAGACGAAGTGTCCTGCTTCCCGGTGTAAAACTCCAGGTTGGAGCAGTAGCCCGTTGCACTGTCTCACAGTTCAAACACTTTCATGCCGAACTTGTCAGGCTTATCAGGGTTGTAAACCCGGAAGGCAAGAGGACCCCTCCAAGCCACCATGGCCTCGTCAATTGCGATGTTCCTTCCCGGCTTGAACACATGCAGAAAGTTGTCTTTCAGGCTGATGACAAAATTCCTGATCTTGAACAGCGGGTCGTGGTCAGCATGTCCTCGTGGCACCTGCTCCCTGTTGTTACAAAGATGAAGAAAGGACAGAATCAGGCAGAAACGGTCCCGCTTCATGATCGACCAAAACAGTGGTAGGCTGAAGATCTCGTCCACGCTCCAGTACTCGTCGAGATCGTCAATGACGACGAGGCCCATGGCTATCACTAGCCCGAAGAAGGCCCACATCTCCTCGACGGTCACGTCCACCCAGCTTTTGAAACGGGAAGAAGGACTCACCTCCTTGTCTCGCAAGGTGTCAGCAGCGTATCTGAAAAATAAAGATAAAAACATATATATTACAAAACTGCAAAATATACGTGAACATATTTATTACTAATACTTACCACCACCAAGATATAACAACACAGTACAAGAACAAGTATATATATTATATTATAATGATATATGGACTCAACCTCATTGACAAAAATTTACACTTCTCATAATTTTCCTTTTTCTCTCACTCACACACAAACACTCCCATCTATACTACTCATCACCTCGCTCTCTCTCTCTCTCTCTCTCTCTCTCTCTCTCTCTCTCTCCTCTCTCTCTCTCTTACACTCACATACACACTCACGCAAATCTCCTGTTTGTCTCAGTGACGATGGACTCCATCATCGTCCTGCTGATCAGAAGGCTCAGGTAGTCACAGGGAGTTGCATCTGCCTCCATCTCCACTTGCAGACCGTGGTCTCCAGTGAAAGAAAAGATGGTTGAGGTTGACAATCCCTCTCTCCATGCTCTGTTCTCTTCCTCCTCCCTGCCGTTATCCTCCTCCACTTCATCTTCCTCCCCATCGGGTCGTCTGCGATTGATGGGATGTACGTTGCTCTGAGTCGAAGATGGCGACTCTGCAGGCTCCTCTATGTCAGAGTCGGCGCCGACAACTGATGAAAACTCGGTGATGAATGACCCACTGGGCCCGTCAGTCAACAAACTTCTCAGCACAGGGATTACTGAGGTCCTATACCTCAAAACCAGAAAGCGATGCCATTGTTATCAGAGGAAAATCGTACAACAAAAGGCTACGAAAGCTATTCAAGAGTTGAAGCGATGCGGAACGAAGGCAAGCAGCAGTCAACCAAAGACGCGCAGTCGGGCAAAGTAGCAGCTCGAATGGACCGCATCACTTTATCGATCAATAACGAGACTAATCGACGCGGTAGCGGTTTGCAAATACTTGCAAACTCTTTGGCCACTATTTATAGTTATGGAGAGCAAATTTCTACGTCACTCACCATAAAAGGAATGCCAAAATTTTCCATTAAAGAAGGTCAGGGTCTGTGCCCTTTATAAAGGGCCTGCGCGCTCCCCGGTCAAAATAGGTCAGCCCTATATATAGGGCTTGCGCGCTTCCCAGGTAAACGGGGCCTCGCCCTATATATAGGCAGAGCTGCCAACCTCAACCCATGAAAAGGTGTACAACTGATGTTCAAAAAGTGTAAGATTAAGAAAAAAAGTGTACAATCCTGAAATGGAAGGAAATTTGATATGTACCTAAAACTAATATACAATAATACAACTTACATCTTCAGCACAGCTTCCTCTTTACTTCTTTGTATGTAGTTAATGGCGAGTATTACATTCCATGTGTCTCCAGAGTATAACAGTATTAACAGCCAGTGATCAGCCACAAGAGCATACAAACAGCAGATGAGAAAGAATAATTTTCATATTTACACTATGTACACTAACACTTTCCAATTGTATGGATAGTCAACTTATTTCTTAGCCAAGGAGGCAGCAGTGGCTGACTTGGCTTTTTCCAAAAGCTCCTTGGGCACTTTGTCTTTGAATGAACCTTTTGAGTCCTTGTTCTTCAGTAGACAGATGTAATTATTGACCTCATGACTGCTCTACGTTTTTGAATCAGTGGCTCATCACCTTGAAGAATGGCATTTGCCTTCTCAAAGGTTGGAATCACATTTTCCAGGAACAACGCATACGCTTTCACTTCATCTGACAAAAGTTTCTTTAATACACTTTCGGCTTTGGCTTGTGTTGTTTTGGAAGATTTGTGTGTTGTCTGCCTCGAGCTCTGGGTGGTATGCTGTCTGTCCGCCGTAGTAGGTGAAAACGTTACACAGATAACCTGTTGCACTGTCACATAACCCGTAAGTTTTTATGTGATACTTTGATGGCTTTGCACAGTTGAATTGTTTGTATTTCCACCTGCCTTTGAAGCCGATCACCATTTCATCAATTGATACGTTTTCCTGTGGATAAAAGGCGCTTTGGAAAGATTCCATCAGCTTTTTCAGGAACGGCTCCACTTTATCCTGGCTCTCGGCTTCCACTCCACGTGCGTGCAAGAATGTGTGGAAAAGCACTTCAAAACGCACCCTTGACATAGTTTGTCCATACCAGGATGTCCTTTTGTGAGGCAGCTTGGTGCACCAGTAGCTTTTGATGCAGTCCCTGGGATCATTCCCAGTGGCAATGAGAATTGCCAAGAACCTGAAGAATTCTGATCTGGTCAGCGGGTCAAATTTGGTGTAAATCGAATGCTTCTTTGCAGGCGTGTTCATTTCAGTCAAGGTTCTGCCATACTCATTTATATTGTCCAGCAATTTATCAACTGTTTCGGGAGAGAGAAGAGCTAGCAGACATTCCAATTGTGTTAGATTCTCCGTTATCTTAGCCTGGTTCACTCCTGTGGCATTCTGATGAAGGAACCTGTAGTTGTTTTGCGTCCGACCTTCTGTCACCTGTGACCACTGTAGTTCAGTTTGTTGAGCCAGGGTAGATCTAGCAGTCGCAGGTCTTGATGGTCTGACTTCATTTCCATTGTTACCACTCTCATTATCTTCTCCAACTCTCCCCACATAGGCCCATCCCCCATGCCCCCAACAGCTGACGAGCCACGCCCACTTTCCCCGTCGTCGTCACCACTAGAAGAAGAATCATAGTCTTCTGCACTACTCTCCACTACTATCGCCATCGTTAAAATGCACAGAACTATGACTCACACCGGAAAAATTAGGGGGGATAGGTTTGAAAAAATCATGGTTAAATGTGTTCCATTCTTCAAACACCAAAATGAATTCACAGAACTGTCTCAAATTGCATGTAGAAACTACTGTGCAAGTTTGAAAGAAATTGGTCAATAACTTTTTGAGAAATATTATTTTGAAGACAAAAACTTTGAGGAAAATGCGATTCCGAGAAAATGACAAAAAACTGACACATTTGTGCAATAATCGCAAAATGTAAGGGCAAATCCATAAAAAGGTAACTGACATCCATAGAATACTCACACCGAGCATAACTAACACGAAATTTGCTCTGAAGAGCTAAAAATCAGAATTCTCCAGCCCCATACTGAATACTCTCCACAGCCTCTAAATCAAGTAACGCCTGTCGCTGATGTTGTTACAGACGTTACGTGTTGCAAAATGTTTTGTTGGCTCTGAAAAGCCTTTGCTCCCATAGCTTTCACTCCAAATATTTCCTCAAACTTTTTAAGGGCTGCATGACCTTTGCCTAACTCACAGACAAACATCGACATAAGCAGAGCTGTTAACACTTTTCCACCACATACAGTAGAGTGAAAAAACCCTTGGCTCCACAAACATTATGGGCGGATGGCAGGAGAAAACAAGTGGGTTGACTTAAATGTCAACTGCTCTATTACATATGCATTTACCACCATGAAATTTTCAGGATGGGTGCACAAGTGGATGAGGTTTCTTGTTGTGAAAAAAAAATTTTTAAATTATGTCACCACTGCGGCCATTTTGAATAAATTATGTAACACTTACCTGAAATTTCAAGAAAAAGTCACTTCCTTCACTCCTTGAAAAGCACAAACACACTATACCCACACAAGTATACCCAAAAATTGCAATTTGACCATCTCTGGTTACAAAAAAGTACAAATAAAGGTGGCTGGGTGATTTTTGTGGCAATCTAGAGACATTATAAAAAAGTACCCCAACAGGTGAAAACGGAGGACCGAAAAGAGTGATTGGGGGTGTCTCACAAAAAGGCTTATTACTCAGTACCATGATAATCTACTGTTATAAAACTTGCAGGGCTGTTGGAGAATTGAATAATATTTGAAATTTCACAATCATTTTTATCATGTGACTTGACAAAGATGGCTATTTTGAATAAATTATGTAACATTTACCTGAAAATTGACTAAAAAATGTACTCCCCCCCCCCTACAAAAAGCACAAACACACCATATCCTCAATATTATGCCCTAAAAAGGTGATTTGAACATCCATGGCCAGTAATAAATTAAAATAAAGGTGGCTAGGTGATTTGATGTGCAATTTAGAGCCATTATAAAAAGGTACCCCAAAAGGTGAAAACGGAGGACCGAAAAGAGGGATTGGGGGTGTCTAACAAAAAGGCTTATTACTCAATACCATGATAATCTACTGTTATAGAACTTGCAGGGCTGTTGGAGAATTGAATAATATTTGAAATTTCACTGTCATTTTTATCCTGTGACTTGACAAAGGTGGCTATTTTGAATAAATTATGTAATATTTACATGAAAACTGACTAAAAAATATATAATTTTTTGACTCCACAACAAAAGCACAACATTTAGGCTGAAAGAAAGCACAACACTTAGGCTGAAAAGAAGCACAACACTTAGGCTGAAAAAAGAAAGCACAACATCGAGAACACGATATGTATGTGTATGTTCATGTATTGCGGATTGTAGTTGTGGATGAATGGGAGAAATTTGAATTTGAAGTGTTGCAAAGCATGCTTGTGGTGTATGTAGCTACAAAAGATTCTAAATGTACTCACTGTGACAAAATATAATCCAAATATGTGGGCTTGATCCAAGTGAAGAAATAGCACTACAACTCCAGCTGCTGCCGCGCCTGCCTGACGTCCGCAGCAGTGTGCCAAATCCTGAAACAGTCCCTTTCGACACACAAGGCAGTGTTGCACTGTGGGCAGTAAAACCTTGTCTGGGCCCGCTTCTTTATGGTCGAACAAACTTTGCACAGAGGGCGGTGTTTGGCGTCGGCCAATTTAGCCGGGAAATGCCCAAGCTGGGCAGCAGACAAGCGTTCGGCAGTGGGGTTTGGCTGGGCTCGAGGTCGACCCGGACGCATGCCCATATACGGCTTGACTAGCGCATCAATCACCGATGACCTAAAGTCTTTGACGCTGTCCGTTCCACCGCCCGCTTTATACAGTATGTGTGCATTTACGAGGCAACATGTCTTTCACGTAGTGGTACAAGGCCATATACCACTTGTAGCTCCTGTGGGGGTAGTGGTAATTCCTGTGGAGCTGATCAAAGTGATCCACCCCACCCATGTAGCTATTGTACGACTCCGCTAGAATCGGCTTTTGGACTGCGCGGAATCCTCCGGGAGTCTTGGAGCAGCGAATTCTTTTGTGCATCACACCGTTGCTGTGAACGGTGCTCAGCAAGCACACACGCTTGGTGTCATGCCAGGCCGTCGCGACAAGATCGCCAGCTTTGGCGAAGACGGGATCGTCTCCTTTCCGAAGGGGAAGATGCACTTTTTTCAGCTGCTCCGGAAAGCCCTTCCGTGTCTCCACCACAGTGCCAACAGCACCCGTTTGTCTATTCTGCAACTCCCTGAAGAGTCCCGGAGAGCTGTAAAAATTGTCGCAAAACAAAATGTGGCTCTTATCCAGGTAGCCGTCAAGGAGGGTCTCGACCAGGTGATTGGTAAAGGCTTTGCCGTCAGGGAGAGGGAAAAAGTCCTTACCTGTGTACACCACGAAGCGAAGGCAGTAATATCACACAGAATCACACAGACAGAAGCACTTGAACCCCCGCTTCGTTGGCTTGTCCGGCATATACTGTCTGAAGTGGCACCTTCCCTTGAACCTAGCCATGCTTTCATCAATGCTGACCTGCTGGTGAGGATAGTAGGCAGTCAGAAAGGACGGGCTGATGAGGTCAAGGAAGTTCTGGATCTTCTGCAGTGGCTTGTACCCTGCTTGCCCCCGTGGCACATGCTGTGCAGCATCACTGGAGAAAAAGAAATAGTTATCAGTGAAAACAGCAAGCATAAGTTTTGGGGTATTGGGGGGAAGAGGGTGAAAAAAATTTGCAAAACTCGTAGGTGAACAATGTGAAGCAGTTTCAAAAATTTACAGAAAGACAAATCAACAATGGTAAGTAACGGAGGCAAGGCCAGCCCACTGCAGCATTCAGTTGCATCTAAAATAATTAGCTCTAGGCCTAAGTAGCCTACTAAAGAGAAAAAAAGCGGATGACGAACATTTACATAAAAAAGTATATAACGGTAACCTAATCTCAGATCTAGCGGTGAATGTATCACTTGATAAAAACTGGAACTAGAATGTAGATCCAGTCTATCATAGCCTAGCTAATGTAAAACCTAGAATGCCTAGAAAGATCTGATCTAGATCTACTAAATCTAGATTTACAGTAGGGTATTTCACTAGAATTATTAGATCTACTTACCTGAAGTGAAAAAAGGCCGACAACAGCTTGTAGCGGTGCCTTGACATCACTTGCTTGAAGTGGATGTCGACGAGCCAGAACGAACGCCAGTAGTCGTCGATGCTGGGCTTGGGGTTGAGACCCATGGCGATTTGCAAACCGATGAAAGCCTGCATCTCCTCGCGGTAAGTGTCAGACCACCTCTTTTTGTAATAGTTGGTTGCTGGCAAGGGGTCAAGACAGTGGGCAGCATAAGAGTTAGTCTGTGTGACCAGGAGGTCAATCACAGCTGGTGAAAAGAACAAGCTGAAAAAATCAACACACCTGAAATTTTCAGTGTCCACCAACAGTCCTGGCTGCTGGCTAAAGTCTGGTAGCCAGTCATTCACATAACGGTCCCCTGCGTCGAATAAATCGAAGTTGAAGGTGTTTGCTGTCGCAGGGATTGGTTGTGGCCTAGCACTTGGACGAGGAGCTGTGGCTGTGGTCGTGCGAGTAGAACTAGATCTACGAGCGACAGACGTGCTCGGCTGCTGCTCGTCAGACGAAGATGTCGTAGATCTAGGACTAGCAGACTCTTCAGATTCAAGCGCTTGTACGTTGTTTCCATCCCAACTAAGCCAAGAAATATCGCTGGCATTATCGGGAGCAGACTGCCCTGAGTCACTGTCCTGGCGAAATACCGTAGATCCAGATCTAGAAGTAGAGTCGCTCATTCTCGTACGTGTTCACTGCTCGAAAACTCGAAGAAAAGTGGCCGAGTGACGCTAAATTTCCCGCTAACTATTGCGAAACAAAAGGAAGTAAACACTCTTTAGATTAAGTGCGCATGTCACGAAAGGGGGGGTCACTACAATGAACGACATTGTAGTTCTAGTCATCGCGATCCCGTTGTTATGGTACACAATCACCGATCGGCGAGAAGCGCCTCGAACGGAAATACTTCCGGCTCGCCGTACGGCGAGATGAGACAGCAAAGTGTTAAAAAACATGTCTGGTGCTTCTTGTGCTCAGGGACTGGTTCGTCCCTGGCTTGAGCCCTGTTGTAGAAGCACCAGGAGTCGGGTCCCTCAGGACACATTTGTTTTGGAAAATCATCTGTGGAAACAACAGTGGAAATACGACGCCTCGATGGCCTCGGCCATCACTTTGATGTCCTCCTCCGAGGCTCCAGTGAAACAGATGTCGTCACCTGCAACCCGGCTGCCGGCAACACTCTTCACAGCCCTAGTAAAGTACACTTGCAGCTTTGCAATCTTCTCCTGGGGAATAAATAAATTAGAAAAGGAAAAAGAAAATAAGCTTAGCAAATTCCCTTACCTTATCTGCCGCTCCGCGAATGCCAAATATAATCCTTTCTGAATGCACAAACATATATACACTATATATGCACACACCAATGTCTACAGGGCATGACATCACACACGGTTAGCCTCCGCCATCCGGATATCGGACGTGAGTGAAGAAGCACTTTTCGTGTACAGGCTGGGCACACTACAGGCACCCGAAGTTGGTGGTGCGCTTCCTTTTATTTCTGTAAAGCACCCGGAAGGTGTGAGAAGAAGTACCGGACCCAGCTGCGGAAGTCTGCGGTGTCTGCGGTGCTTCCCTGCTGCTTGTTGTTCCTCCGATGAGTTATGAAGCAATGTCCTCTGAAGTCCTGAAATCCGGACCAGCAGCGTCTGTTGTTGCTTGCCTTGGCAACTACAAAGGCGTTGTGGGAGGACACTGTCGCTAAATAAAAAAATAGCCGTCTCCACCATTTTGTTGATCTGGGAAATGAATGCGGAGAAATGAAGTTGAAATAAAACTTGTAACGTGAAATATTCAAAGGGCCCAAGAAAGTAATTTTTTGGAACGAAGTTGAAGTGAAAGCAGCTCATCTGAAAGGAAAAACACAATTTACAAGAACTACAAGAAAGAAAGAAAAAAAAACACGAAAAAAAAGAAAGTAAAATCTTGGGATCATTTTTTGTCAGGAGCTGTGAAGTAAATTTAGTGGAATGAAGTCTAACTATAACCTGTAATGTGAAATTTCAAAAGGCACATGAAAATATTTTTTGGAAATTGGAACGAAGTTGACCAAAATTGGAAAAGACGTACCTGTGGTTGATGATGTAGTATCCAACCATCTGATCCATTAGATCAACGCCTGTCATGTGCTGCAGGTGGTCAGAAAGGCATCTCGGTACAGTGACGGCCCGCTGGTTCGAATTTCCTTTCCGTCTCATGACAGTTCCGGTGTCCATCGGCGAATGGAAATTTGAAAGCACCAGGACATTCTTGGTATCCATCCAGTTGCAGAAGGTCAGGTCGTTGAATTGCCCCACTCTGTACTGATGCTTCTGCAACTGGAGGGCTCTGGGCAGCATTTCAGTGGACAGGCCTCTCCTGTTTGCTCGGATGTTGTCAGCTGGCTGTATCCCCTTGCCCACCAGATCCTCCATGAGTAAACAACTGGAGTAAAAATTGTCCATGAAGACTTGTAAATCTGCTGAAAGCAAGAAGGGGTGGGTGGTGTTGGAAAAGGTGAGGACTGGCCCAAGGAAATACTCTAAGCAAATTGAAAAGTCCAAGGGTGGTCTGTCCCTGGAGAGCCCTGGCGAACACAACACAGGAGGAAGAGTCGCACCGGAAGCCGTAATGACAGGGTTCAACACCAACCTCTCCGCCACCTCACCCTCCACACTCCTCCTTGCTGTCACATATCCTGGCTTCTCTCCTGAAATAAAAAAGTGCTGGAGTTTCTTGATACCAGGAAAGGACCTGGACCACGGCTTGAAAAAGGCTTGCCTGTCGTAGGTGGGAACATTCCTTTCCTGGTAGAACTCTCCACCACTGACTGGAATTCCCGGAGGGAATTGACACTGTGGCGTCGGATTGAGTTTTTGTGGTAAGATTTTGATTGGTTTGTTTTTGTCTAGGAATGTGTGAAGTATGTCTTCCACCACATCTGGTGGGAAGGATGGGGGCACCCACGACAGGTACAATTTTTTTTTTCCCTAGTTAATTTTTGGATATATGCGTGTGTGTAGGTATCTATTTGGAATTGTGTGTCATGAAGTAGTGATTCTGGTACTGAGTCGACAAATGTGAGATATATATTGAAAGACGTTGGGTTTCTATATATGCTTACCACTTCTCGCTCTTGCAGTCCATACCTGGTCGTTACTTCGTCTATTATCTGTGGGTTCCTGATGCGTCCCGCACCCTTTCCGGTTAGCTTGACTATGTAAGTGTTTGCCTCGTGTCGTATCAGCTCTGGCCGGTCGGTGTACTTTAGACTCGTCTTGAAGATCATGGCTGCTGTTGAAAAACGATAAGAACAAATGAGTGGGTAATAATGGCTCAATACTCACCAGACTGGGAGGACCGCCGTCGTGATCATGGTGTCCCGGGGGCAAAAAGTGCAGACTCACCGATGAGTGCTGGCCAGTCAGAACTCGCCAGACGAGGTAGGCCTACTGCAACAAGAACTGATTCTTGTTCCGTCCGGCACAGTTCTTGGACTTCTTCACTTTTCTTCATCAACTAAGAAAAGTTTGTCTCCACGAAGCCCATGCTATCGGTTCATGAAAGTGGAAATTAACTGGTGGTTTCATGTTTCTTACCGTGAGGTTTCTCCACGTTATATCCTACTCTTGTGTGGTTGTTCTGTCTCACTCACTCACTTCTGACACCATGTAGCAAGGTTCACTTCACCAGTCAAATGACCCCCCAAAATGTGACTGCGAGGTAGAAAGACTGTACTTACCGACTGGCGTCAACTCACTGGTAGGAGAAGATGTGAGGATCTGCAAGGTGGTGACGCGCCTGCGCTGGCCGGCTTAGATCGCGTCGACAGGCCCTCAGAGGTCACTTCGCCGGCAGCTACGACAACGTCGGCCACTCTGGTCTCTAGCAGAACTGAGACGGATCAGAAGGGGCGCACAGAATTCCCGCCTCGCCTTTATACCCATGTTTCAGCGCCCCTAGTGTCACGGGGCTGCAACTCTGATCGGCCCACCCAGCGCCCCCTAGTCTCATGGGCCCGTAATTCTCAATTATTCATCTCTCCAATAACACAAAAAACTAGAGACACAAAGACAGCTTTATATACACCCCAGACCCTATGCTCTCAGAAGCCATGAATCTCAAGACAATGTGAAAACTGCTCATGGAGTGTTTACAATGAAAGGGAAACAACTGATAATGTAGTGGACAAGCAACTGTGATGGATTATGTCCCATATCATTACACTCATTCACTCTAGAATCTAGTTCTGACAATCACAGTGTGGGTGTCATAGGCTATTCTGCGTATGTTCACTAGATCTAGCTTTGCTTTGTCTCTTTATAGTTTCTTTTCTGTCGCTGGCACTTACCGACATTAAATCTAGATCTAGTGTCATTGGAAGGGCATTGGCATTGATTCCACGCAATTTTTGTTGGTCTACTTGCGATTATATATTGATACTGACTTACTATTTACCTAGCATAAACGTAGAAATACTGAGAGGGGGGCACAAGAGGTCAGAGCAACACTTCCAATCAAAATGTATACAAACCTCGTGTTCGGTGGTTGGAGCGTTGGTGGTGTCGGTGGTCACAGTGGTGGCAGGGGTGTCGGCTGTCGTTGCTTGTGGCGGTCTTGTGGTGGTGGGGCGTCGTCCTTTTAGTCGGTCAGCATAGGTCGCGGGTTCCGTGGTGGTGGGGGCGGTCTTGGTGGCGGGAGTGTCGTCGTTTATTTGAATAATGGTCCACTCGGGCGCAGTGTAGGCAGGCTTTGCGGCGTCAGGGGAGGGTGACCATTATATTGAGCGGGTCCGGCCCGCAGCCCGAGATCCTCACGTAGTGCGGGACGTCGTCGGGGTCGGCCTCCGCTAGGACGGTGTGACGGTCGTCCGAACCGTATCGTCTAGGGAGGAAGTCTATTTGGGAGTTTGGTTTGGCGAAGGTCCTGACGACTCGCTTGATATTTTCTTCAGAGAAAGTCACCGGGACCCATTGGAGGTATATCTT